CCAGGTTCGATTCTGGTCAAGGGCACATGCCTGGGTTGCAGACTCGATCCCCAATGGGGGGGCGTGCAGGAGGCAGCCAGTCAATGATTCCCTCTCATCATTGATATTTCTATCTCTCTCCCTCTTCCTTCCTCTCTGAAATCAACAAAAAATATATATTTTTTAAAATGCCATAGGTTTATGGGGGTTATTTTGTATCATGCTACGTTGCTTAATTCATTTATTAAATCTGATAGTTTTTTGATGGAGTCTTTAGAGTTTTCTATGTTCACTATCATGCCATCTGCAAATAATGACAGATTTACTTCTTTTCCAATTTGGATGCCTTTTATTTCTCTTCTTGTCTGATCACTATGTCTAGCACTTCCAATACTAAGTCAAACAGGAGTGGTGAAAGTGGGCATTCCTGTCTTGTTCCCGTTCTTAGGGGAAATGAGAGGGGAAATGTTTTTAGTATTTTCCCATTGAGTATGATGTTGGCTGTAGGTTTGTCATATATGGTCTTTATTATGTTGAGATATGCTCCCTCTATTCCCATTTTGCTGAGAGTGATTATTAAAAATGGGTGTTGGACTTTGTCAAATGCTTTTTCTGCATCTATTGATATGATCATGTGATTTTTGTCTTTCAATTTGTTTATGTAATGTATCATGTCTATTGATTTGTAAATATTGTACCAGCCTTGCATCCCTGGAATAAATCCCACTTGGTCATGGTGTATGATCTTTTTAATATATTGCTGGATCTGATTTCCTAATATTTTGTTGAGGATTTTAGCGTCTATGTTCATCCAGGATATTGGCCTATGATTCTTTTTCTTTGTAGTGTCTTTGTCTGGTTCTGGAATTAGAATAATCCTGGCCTTATAAAAAGAGCTTGGAAGTGTTCCTCCCTCTTGGACTTTTTGGAATAGTTTGAGTGTAGGTGGTAGTTCTTCTTTGAATGTTTGATAAAACTCCCCTGTGAAGCCGTCTGGACTTGGGTTTTTGTTTGCTGGGAGTTTTTTGATTGCTGCTCCTATTTCATCAGTTGTAATTGGTCTATTCAGGTTTTCTGATTCCTCCTGATTCAGTTTTGGAAGATTGTATTTTTCTAGAAATGTGTCCATTTGATCCACATTGTCCAGCTTGTTGGCATATAGTTGTTCATTGTATTTTCTTACAATCCTCTGTATGTCTGTGGGGTACATGGTTACTTCTCCATTTTTGTTTCTGATTTTATTTACTTGGGTCTTCTCTCTTGTTTCTTGATGCAGTCCGCAGGCCGATGCTCTATCCACTGCCGTTTTCGGCATGGAGGTTGTATTTTTCTAGGAATTTGTCAATTTCATCCACATTGTGCAGCTTGTTGGTATATAATTGTTTATAATATTTTCTTATAACCCTTTGCATTTCTTTGGTGTCAGTGGTTAATTCTCCACTTTTGTTTCTGCTTTTATTCATTTGGGTCCTCTTTCTTTGTTTCTTGATAGTCTGGCTAATGGTTTATTAATCTTGTTTATCCTTTCAAAGAACCAGCTCTTGGTTTCATTGGATTTTTTGGTAGTGATTTTTTTAGTCTCTATGTCATTTATTTCTGTTCTAGTCTTTATTATTTCCTTTCTTCTATTTACTCTGGGCTTTTCTTGTTGTTCTCTTTCTAGTTCTTTAAGCTGTAGGGTTAAATAGTTTATTGTAGATTTTTCTTGTTTTTTGAGGTGGGCCTGTAGTGCTATGAACTTCCCTCTCATGACTGCTTTGGCTGTGTCTCAGATTTGGGATTCTTGTGTGTTCGTTTTCATTGGTTTCCGGGAAGTTTTTTATTTCTTTCTTGATCTTATTGGTAACCCATTTATTGTTTAGTAACATGCTATTTAGTCTCAATGTGTGTGAATGTTTTTGGGTGTTTTTACTGTAGTTGATTTCTAATTTCATTCCACTGTGATCTGAGAAGATGCTTGATATGATGTCAATCTTCTTGAACTTATAGAGGCTTGTTTTGTGTCCTGACATGCGGTCTGTCTTTTTGAATGACCCATGTGCACTTGAGAAGAATGTATACTCTGTAGCTTTGGGGTGAAATATTCCATAAATGTCAATTAAATCCATCTAATCCAGTGTGCAATTCAGAGTCACTGTTTCCTTGTTAAATTTTTGTCTGGAAGATCTATCCAGTGGAGTCAGGGGGGTGTTAAAGTCCCTACTATGACTGTATTGTCAGTCTTTCCCTTAACCATTTATACGCCATAAGTGTCTATAGATGCAAGTGGCAGACCATTTTTAATTAAATTAAATGTCGTGGCAGTTAACTGGTTAAAGTCCTCTAGAAG